GTGAGGTGGGTAGATTCAGGATTGTCAGCTTGTGTAACTACTGGATGTGAGGTGCGTAGATTCAGGATTGTCAGCTTGTGTAACTACTGGATGTGAGGTGGGTAGATTCAGGATTGTCAGCTTGTGTAACTACTGGATGTTGAGGTGTGTCTAGTATTTCTTGTTTTTAAAGTTGTCGTAATAAATAATACGGTGTACCTATAATTACCACTTATTTTGATATTTATGGTATATTGTTAATATAGAGTAATTATAAACAGTTTAAAGAGCAGAGTATTTGTTTTGGAAACGTTGTTGAACAATCTGATGATAACATAAAAACTCCTTACATTTTTATTTGATTAATTTTTTAGATATTTGAACTTACACAATTATGTTAAAATTTTTTCCTTAAAAGTAACCAAGAAACTGAGCCAGATAGTTGTCATAGCTTCAAGAGATAGTATCATTGCTGAAGAAAGAGGAAAATCAGTTTTCTATTTACTGTCGGCCTTAACCTTTTTATATGATGATGTTTGCAAATTCATAATAGAATTTCTTTAGTCTTTTGGTAGTAGTGACCAGGTCAGCAGGTGTTTCTAGTTTTTTGGTAGTAGTGACCAGGTCAGCAGGTGTTTCCAGTATTTTGGTAGTAGTGAGCAGGTGTTTCCAGTATTTTGGTAGTAGTGAGCAGGTGTTTCTAGTATTTTGGTAGTAGTGAGCAGGTGTTTTCAGTATTTTGGTAGTAGTTACCAGGTCAGCAAGTGTTTCTAGTATTTTGGTAGTCGTGACGAGGTCAGCAGGTGTGTTCAGTATTTTGGTAGTAGTGACGAGGTCAGCAGTTGTTTCTAGTATTTTGGTAATAGTTACCAGGTCAGCAAGTGTTTCCAGTATTTTGGTAGTAGTGAGCAGGTGTTTCTAGTATTTTGGTAGTAGTGAGCAGGTGTTTCTAGTATTTTGGTAGTAGTGACGAGGTCAGCAGTTGTTTCTAGTATTTTGGTAATAGTGATGAGGTCAGCAGGTGTTTTCAGTATTTTGGTAGTAGTGACCAGGTAAGCAGGTGTTTCTAGTATTTTGGTAGTAGTGACAAGGTCAGCAGGTGTTTCCAGTATTTTGGTAATTGTGACCAGGTCAGCAGGTGTGTCCAGTATTTTGGTAATTGTGACCAGGTCAGCAGGTGTTCCCAATATACGTGATATTTACAGTTTATTCCTTTACAGACACAAGAACTGATTCTTAGACGGAACGGTCAGAGACAAATTGGATTTCATGTTCAGTATGAGGGCGTTGTTACGGAGGTAGAAAATCATGGGCTTGCGTGGCAGGCTGGACTGAGGAAAGGAAGTCGTTTATTAGAGGTAACAACATAAATTTCTTGAAAATAGGCAGATTATACTTGAGAGTAGGTAAAAGGGATTATAAAATTTATAGTTTTATGTTTGAAATAAAACATGTTTTAAGTTGAAGTGTTAGTATGATTTTGATTTAACAGGGTGGCCACAAACCTTAAAGAATTAGTGAAAATTTAAAACATATTGCAAGACCTGGAAAAATTAGGGAAAATTGTGCCCTGTTCTTATTATGCTAAGCCTGCACATGCTTGCAAACTACACTGCTTTGATATGGTAGTTATGAATTTATTTTAACATAGTCTTACTCTGTCACTTTGTTATTTTATAAAATAATTTGTCATATTTGATGGTAGGTATCCTTGTATGAATAATAATATGGTTTACTATTTACCATCAAGTTGCAATGTCTTTGTTTGAAGATCTAAACTTAAGTTTGAAATATTATGTGATATGAGTATTTCGTGTCACGTAACGAGTAAACACTAATACAAATTAAGTAAATCTTAAAAATAGAAAAACCAACCAACTTAATGATTAATAGTAAAAGAATAAACTTTTATATAACAAATTATACTGTAAACTAACACCAATTGATGAGAAAAAGAAGAGAAAGTTTTTATAAGAGAGTTATAATGGTATAATACTGTATAATTACCATGCATTTAAGCTTTGTTATCATTAAGTTTTTCAATCGGTAAATTTCAGTGTTTGTATTTCTTGTTTCTGTAGATTTGTAAGGTGCATATTTTGTACTTGTTGTCTTTCTAGATTTGCAAGATACCTGTGGCCACACTGCTTTATGATCAGATGGCAGATTTGCTTCAAACTTCATTAATGGTATCTGTAACTATGGTTCCTCCTCTTTTCAATGGACTTCCTCGCAGGTGAGTGTTTGTTAACATTGTAAGTAAACTTTGTGCCAACTCTTCCCAAATTAAATACGTATGAAGTGCTTTGGATATGATTATTTTCTGAAGTTTCATCAACAAAGGAGTAATTTTTGGGCAGCTGATCTTATAATGCACATTATCAAACGTGACGATTTTTGTTTTTCTTCAAATTCTTTCCCATACGAACAATGAATGGAAAAGAATGTTTTGGATGCTCATACACAAATGTTTGTTTTCCAGAACTCTCCTACTTTGAAGGTCAGTAAGTCTCTCCATAACATTTTGATCCATGCTTTGAAAATCGGGTTTTTTCTTCATGACATGTTGATTTCACAATTTGAAGATCACTCAGATTCCTTCTTCATGACATCTTGATTTCACACTTAGAAGAACATTGACATTCTTTCTTTACAACATTTTACTCCACACCTTGAAGGTCATTGACATTCTTTCTTCACAACATCTTGACTCCACACTTTGAAGATCAATCACATTCTTTCTTCACGACATCTTGACTCCACACTTTGAAGATCAATCACATTCTTTCTTCACGACATCTTGACTCCA